AGTTCAAACATATCTTCGAAGTTTAGTAGGACTCTTTTAACACCATGTTGATATGAATTGATGTATAATTTTAATTAGTCTAGAAAATGATTTAGGATTTTCTTGATATAATAAAATAAGGAAAAAAAAACAATTGTATTTCAATGATATATTAAAAGTAATAAATAAAAATAAAAATCTAATTTTATAGTAGTAGTAAATAAACAAAAGTGAATGAAAGGAGCAATTTTTAAGAGATGTCTTCATAAATTTGAAAAAAAAGAAGAGAGAGTACTTAATCGATTAAATAAAATAAATCTTTATAATTTATGTTATTAAAGTCAGATAAGGAGCCTAAATCAAAGACATTTATGGAAACTAACTTACCTACTTAAGGAAATACAATGCGGTTAGCTGAAGAATTTCCCATCACACATGACCATAATTTTTTCGATGTTCGTAAACTGATTGAAGTTTTGATTAAATTTAGACGATTACAATAGTCCATTTAGAAATAATACTTCTAACAAAAAAAATTCCATGATTAAAACTGAAATTCGTAACTTCTAATTAAGGGAAAAGCAATCCTATCACTAACCATAATCTATTTACTCAGGTTTCATTATCAATTCTAAACCTACTGTATGAAGTAAAGATTTTACTATCGTTGGAATATCTAAGATAAGAAGATATATATAAAAAAAAAGAAATAGTGGATATTGTAGTTTACTGAACACATCTATAATAAATAGACATGTGTCATATATATATGACCAATGCAGTGTTCAAAAATATAAACATAAATATCCTGTATACGATAAATATATCTATGTTGGGAATGATCACACACTTTTAAAATTGTGTATATTTAAGACAAAATGAAAATGACGCTGATTTCCAACAACTTAAGAATTTTAATTAATTGAATTGGCAACCAAGAGAGCGACGCATTGCATGCAAATGCAGGTGTCACTATTTATTTTTTATGAAATTGTACATAAATAATACTCTTTCCGTTCTATGTTAGATGAATACTTTCTTTTATACTGTGATTAAGAAATCATTAATACTCTCTCTGTCTCTAATTACTTGTCCATTTTTTAATTGACACACTTATTAAGAAAATAATTAATGACATAGTGAGTTTACCATTTTACCCCTATTAATTATGAAGTGGATGAAAAGTTCTATATTTTTCAAAATAATTAGTCATTTAATTGAGAGTATAATAGGTAAAAAAAATTGTCCTTTCTTGATCTGTCAAAATAGACAAGTAATTAGGGACAACTATAAAAGGAAAAGTAGACAAGTAATTAGGGATATAGGGAGTATATTGACCAACTTTATTATTTTGTCCTTTGTTCATATTAATTAACCTCTTGAAAAAAAATGGACCTTTAAAATTTGTTTAAACTTCTAAAGGTCAGAACATATTAATTGTAGGGGGTAAAACGAGAAAAAAAATTAATTAATTTCATCCTGATATATTAAGTGATCAAATAATACTCTCTTTGTCCAATAATAATTCTCCACTAGTGACTTGGCACACCCCATAAGAAACTATAAATAGAAGGCTAATTTACTATATCCTTTGAATATAATAAATACATTGTCTTGAAAAACGTAATAGAAAAATGACTATAATTAATGATAAGAATAAAATAGGAACTGAGTGTAAAATTATTCATTAATTTTATAAAGTAGACAAATATTATTGAAAATCCCAAAATAATCTAATAGACAATTATTGTTAAACGAAGAAAATAATATGGGACAAATAAATTTAGTAAGATGTCCATCTAACATAAGACATTTTTTAAAAACTTTTTCTATAGCATTTATTTTACGAAAAGTAATAAACTGATGTCAGTTGAGCTTTACAAAGGTTATTAAGAGCTATCCTACATAGTGGCGAGTAAAAATTTATACCACTTCGAATAAATACAGGGAAGAATTTATTTCATTAGGTGTAATAATACTTTCTTTGTCTCTAATTATCTGTTCATTTTTTCTTTTTTAATTGTTTCTAATTATTTGTTCATTTTGATAAATCAAAAAAGGATAAAAATTTTTTTACCTATTATACCCTCAATTAATTACTTTGAAAAAGGTAGAACTTCTTGAAAGTCTTAAATTTTTAATTCATCCACTTCATAATTAATAAGAATAAAATGATAAACTCACTATGTCAATAATTATTTTTTTAATATATGTGTCAATTTAAAAGTGAATAAATAATTAGAAACAGAGGGATATAATTTTTCACCAAAATTACATGACTTCTTTCGAGAAATTTTAATTTTTAACTAACTAATCGCAGAACCATACAAAATTAAGGATTCCTCTGAAAAAATCAGACTTGTTCAGAAGGAGGAAAATATGTGTCCCTAATAAGAGTTTACCATATTAATTTCTTGGATGAATTTGAATTGCGTGCCAAATGAAAAAGCATTGACACGTGTAAAAAATACTCCCTCTATTTTTTTTTACTAGTTCAATTTTGACTTTTAACTTGTCATTATTTAAGAATCAATAAACACAATATTTTTAACTTATTATACTTTTAATTTATTAAGAGAGTTAATGTTTTTAAATAAAATAAAATAATTATTTTAATTATTGCTCGTTCATGTCGAGTTTGAACATTTACGACGGAGGGGGTATCTAATAACTACGGTGGGCGGTGGTATTTATTTAGAGTGAGTTTACTAACTCGGTTTTTTTGAGTTTAGAAAAAATATTTGTTTAAACTTTTTCCCCTTAAATTTTTCAAACTAAAAAATTAATGCCGCAATTATATCCTACGATAGACTACGTACAGTTGACAAAATTTCACCACTTATGACATTAATAGTGATAGTGATAAAACTTAACTTGGTATATACATTGTGATTTTGTATTAATATTCAAATTTCAACTGTAACTATTTGTAGATTGCTCCATTTTAAAGTGGGCAGACTTTTTCTACTTGGCGGTTGTGCTACTTTTCTTTGTTTTTTTTTTAGGTCAACCGACTAATAAGATTCGGAAAATCTTAAAGAAAAGAATATATGGTTGTAGTTGAGAAGCCAATTTGAAATGTGTGGAGCACCAATCTGCGCGTTGCCCAATTGACCCTCTATGTTCGAAATTTGGAAGTTTTCTCAATTTTCTTTCAAAATATTATAGTTCTAGTATATGTAATTAACGCGGTAGGAAATGCTGACATTTAGCAAATACACGTTAATCAAGTATCTGTGAATTGACTTTTCAAATGGTCATTTATATGTATTATAGAAAGTATTTTTTCCTTTTTTGATAGAATATATTTTTCTGAAATAATAATTGTTAGATGGTCATTGAGAAATCAACCCCTATTATTCAGACGTTTGGTTCTATCATTATTATTTTTATGTGGTCTGGATATCTTAAATTGGAAATATCGATAAACATATTGGAAAGCTTCTTTTAATGAAAGCGCATATGCAAAATGTGCGCGGAAAGTAATAAAAGAAAAAGTAGTCACATATGCTTTTTAATTTGCCACTTTATAATTGGACAGACATGGGATTAGATATTTATAATGTTTTCGTGGATAATTATTTGCGCCATATAGAAGTGAAGAAAAAAAGGAGGAACTTGTAGAACATCAATTCAGGGAGCATTTTGCCAAAAGAAACATCTCTTCTTATAATAATTATCCCATGCCTTCACTTTTACTTAACCACTTTTATTTGTTTGATTAGGTAAATTAAGAGATAATTTAATAATTTTTATTTATTATTTAGTACATTATTCATTTCTCAACATCCAAATATAAATAAGGATGATATACTAAAATTACAATTTTATGTCTTGCTTCTAAAAGAATGTATAAAGTAAACATGAATGGCGGAGTAGTAAACTTCTTATACTTCCAACTCTAGATCGAAAATAAAATGAAACCAGGTCATTAAGAACTGAGTTGGAAAATTAGATGATCATTTGTCAATAATAATACTGCTGAGCTGGAATATTTGTTCTCTTGAGCAATAGAATTGTATGCCTATCAACAAATGGCCCCAAACAAGAAAATTCTGTTCAGACTTGACCTAAAGCCCAGTAACTAAGAAATGTGGACTCTGCATGGTACTGGGCTGGGCCTAACAGGTGCTTGCTTGAACACATGCCCAATCATAAACTGGGTTAGCTTGGGCTGATCCAGCTTTTCATTCACTAAACCCAGCCTTAAAAATCCAAGAGTACTCTCTTTCAATCTCCACATGAAAAGTAATAGCTCAAGCTATATCTTAGAGTTTCACGTGTGAAATTTGTAAGTCCATAATAAAGGTATTTGTCAATTATAGCTATTGAAAAAGAAATGTGGCTTTTTATGAATTTTATCCTCTACAACACTATAATCATAGAAAAGAAAAGTAACACAATTCCCAAATGTTGCAATATTTAAAGGAAATGACAACACGTTTCTCTTAATGTTTTAAATTTTTGTAAGTATCATCAAATAGCGAAATCCAGATCCACATAGCCTGTTGAGCATGAGGTATGGCTAGTAGAGCGTCAGGATTTTCTTGATTCATTGTCAATGTAAACAAAGGAACAATGCATGATCATTTAGTTTAATAAATCGATCAAGGAATATTATTTCTTGACTAGCACAGCCTTAATTATATAGGAGTATCAAATGAATCAATTATCATTCCTGCATCCAAGTCCACTGATATCCAAAAAGGTTCAATGAAACATAAATTTAGCAAATTTCGATTATAATTTTATATTTTTCTGTCAAAGTTATTTTTCAAATTATGGTGCAAATTGCATTAACTGTTTAGCTTGCAGCAACGCCCACATTTAATGCAGAATCTTCAAATGATCCTTTACTGTTTGAACTTGTCGACATCGACGTTGATTGATACAAACAGTTCTTTACATGCAGAAACACTCATTCAATTTGACTGATGTTATTGATAAACAAGATTTTGATTGGCTACTGTTTGGCTTTTGCTGTTAATAGTACGTTGAAAATAAAGTGACATTTCCATAAAGTTAAGTCATTAAAAGCCGAATCTTAAAACTTAAATTCCAGAATCAAATTTTTACACACATCATTCAAACTTCCCAAAACATTCATTAGCTACTTCCCATTGATCCCTTCCCTATGATCATAAGTTAAAAACGACAAAAAAAAAAAAAAAAAACTCTAAATCTAATTTACACGGTATCTCATTTGGCTCCGGTTTTGTTTTAGTGCTGAACTGGGTACCTGACTGCAGCGGCTAGCAGCCTTTGCTGTTCTATCTGTAGCACGAAACTATGATCATTGATCAGAACTATTTAATGCTAAAGTTCATTACAATAACTTTTTATAGAAACACAGGAGGAATACTATCTAACTTATTAATGCATGTCGTACTTTCATCAATACAAATAGTGTAAAGTAGCTAGGATGAAAATGTGTACGATGTTTAAATTATTAGGATTTGTTTGGTAGAGAAATTTGAAAAGAAAAAAAAAACTTTTCAAAAATGTTCTTTGTAGTGCAAAAGGCAAAATTGTTAAATTTCAAAATTTATGATAGAACATGATTTTCGGAATGTAAAAAATATTGGCGGCCAAAACGGTCAATAATTACCTGGAAAAGTTCATGAAGTTTGTTCTTGAGATAACAATATTCATGCTCAAGCAACTCTAGAGCTCTCAAACAACTGAGAAAAAAAAGAGAAAAACAATTATTTTGTTTTCAGTTTTAGTGGTCCTAGTATATAGGCGATTTATTTTATTTAAAAATAAGAAAAAGTTAGTTACTTACCCAAGTCGGTTATTCTGCTCGGAAGCAACGCGAAAGGCGACGCAGACGTTTCTGACGCGTTTTGCACCAATGCTTGAACTGCTTCCTATAAACTGATTCAAATGCACTCCCATTTTCTTGTAGTCCGAAAACTCTCTATCCATCCTTTTTTTTTTCGCCATATTATAAAAAGAGTACCACTCCATCAGTAAAAGATGAAAAGAAAAAGAAAAGATAACAAACTCAGAGGTATTATAACCCATAAAAAAAACTCGACTTTTTCCTCCTTTTATTCCCACGCTTGATATAAAACATGCCCACAATAAAGTAGTACTCGTAAAATCGCTTTTATGAGTTCACCTCTTCGAAACAATAATAGACTATTTTCAATAGAATTTCGACTAAAAAACACTCACAACAAGGATCTGAGATTTCGTAAGAGTTTTTCGGACTCCTGGAAGTAGATGTTGACAACTTCGGAGACGAAATTAGGAGAGGATTCATCTTGAAGCTGTTGCAGCTGCAAAAATTGCTCGTCTAATACTCCCTATTTTATTTTTTTACGTACAAATAAAAATCACATTTAGCATCTGTGCGAAAAAAACGAAAATCTGAGAACTAATAATAGCAAATTATTAGGAACCTGGTGGAAGAGTAACGCGAGCAAGCGATTCATATCACCTCGCAAGCGTTCGACGCCGAGGCCAAGCATCCACAGAGGTAGACCCGTTTTGGCTGCTTTTTGTAAATGAGGGAATAGTAGTATTAGAGAAGGAAAAGGAGATAGAATTAAATTAGTCTCAGGCTTTTTTCCTAAATATGGGGGCGAAAGGAGAGTTGCTTTCGAGAGGAGTGTGTATGTCGTTTCTTATTTCAGGGTGTAAAAATGGCAGTAATTGCTTTAATTTGTTTGCAGTCAAGTCAGGTGAGAGGTGAGAGCCGAGACTATGCTTATAAAGGATCACCATCTGGCGGTGAATCTGACCCCACCTATCCTATGGACTCTCACTTTTACTTTCTTTTTTTTTGTTTTTTGTTTTATTCGTTTACCTTTCTAAATTGGCCCTAAATAATTTTAAAAAATCATGCTCTTCTCATTTTAATTTGTTTTTCATAAATATGTCTGAAAAATTAAAATTGGAAGTGGAAAAAGTGATTTTTTAAAAATAGATTGAAGAAATAAGATAAAGCTAATTGAAACACTTAATATACTATTTTGGTTAAGTTTTTCGAAACAATATTGCCAGTACTGTTTTATGTTATGTACTATTTATACAAGTTGTTTCTTTTTCTTTTTTAAAAAAATGAGAAAAAGGAGATTACAACATGGTAAATTGAACTCCTATTAATTAAAAATATAGTTTGACAAGCATAAACTAGAAATACTTAACTAGGGATGAAATGACAAATTAAAGCTATTTTTCATTACATGCATTCTTATTTTGTCCATCCAGCATGTTCGTTTTTTCATAATGCAAGTACCTAGTACATTTTTTCCTTTCGGAAAAAATGAAAACAGTGCGTACATCTTTTCCCTTGTTATTATTTCTTCACATGCTAACCAAATGTTCCTTTTTTTATACTTCAAATTAATTTACTTCCGTGCATTTCAATTTTAATCAAGTGGATACTCTCTTCTTTTTAATCTATATGTCGTTTTACGTTTTTCAGTAATTAATTAAACAAATCTTTGCAATTAAATTAAGTTAAATGAATTAAGCAATATATAACAATTGCAAAGTAATGGGATTGCGTAATCGAGGTGAGTGTGGGGAATAATGTAGACCGGCGGGCCTACTCAGGATGGTCTATGTATATACAACATACAGAGTGACTGCAGGATTAGAGAGTGGCGCAGTCGTTTTTATTTTTGGTGTTGGAGTTGCTTGGGCTATACCTATATGGTGGGTTATGTGGTCACCTGCAACTTGCTTGGAACCCCGTTAGAAGACGGAGTCAGAACTAAAAATTTGGGGTTCTAAATTTTAAGATTCAAATCAGTAACTTCAGTGTGAAAAGTATTTTCATAATATTTCTTCTCACTAAATCGTTAATTAATTTTATGAGAAGTAAACAAGTTAATTTACATTTATATTTATATAATTTTCTAATATACATATATGATCAACGAAAATGTTACTGAATTCATTCGCGAACCCTAGTTAACTTCGCCTCTGACCCAGTACTGAGTCAGTCTCCTCCTCCGCGTGCTGTCCGCTTTTGGTGTAATGTGCGGCCTTCTTAAGCTTCCTCAATCCTCTCTCTCCCTTTCACCCGACAACGCCCTGCACCTTCTGACTCTAATATCCATCCCATCTCCTTTTATTTTACCACCTAGCACTTCCTCCTTTTAATTACCTTGTCATCACACTTTATACTAGTTAGTCTGGTTTATTACTAAATACTCCCTCTGTCCCAATTTATATGACTCACTTTCCTTTTTAGTCAGTCCCAAAAAGAATGACACATTTCTATTTTAAGTAACAATTTGCCTATAAAATGTCTTTTTTACCCTTAATGAAATGATTTACAACCACACAAATTTCTATCATTCATTTTTTACCACAAGTTTTAAAAGTCTTTCCATTTTTCTTAAAGTTTGTGCCAAATCAAAGTACATCATATAAAATGGGACGGAGGGAGTAATAAATAGACATAGTCTATTATTTTTATATACAATTTTTAAGATCTTATATATGTTTAATCAAAATTTATTTATAATTTACTTATTAATAGTAAAAATGCCTAAGGTGAGAATATTTATTTTATTGGTTTTATTTATACGAGTCTCTATGTTAATTCTTTGTGGGACTGAAAATGTCACTGTCTCACCCTTCTAGGCCAAAATAGTGAATTTTGAAGCTTTATTCATAGTAAACTCAGTGATCGAAAGTTCTGTAACGTCAGTCATACTAACTATTTTTCGTTTTGAATGAATTGCCGTCACTTTTTTCACGTTTTGAATAAATTGTTTCTTTTATTTTTGTGTATGGTTAATACTTTTTAGTCAGTCCCAAAAAGAATGACACATTTCTATTTTAAGTAACAATTTGCCTATAAAATGTCTTTTTTACCCTTAATGAAATGATTTACAACCACACAAATTTCTATCATTCATTTTTTACCACAAGTTTTAAAAGTCTTTCCATTTTTCTTAAAGTTTGTGCCAAATCAAAGTACATCATATAAAATGGGACGGAGGGAGTAACATAATTAGTTTTATACATATATCTCAAGAGGATAGTATATAGTATACAATTTAATTATACTTTGTGAAATTAGAAAAAAATATTTTTGATAACCATCGATTTTTATATAACATATCAAACTTAAATGTCAAAAGAAAAAGTAACAATAAAAAAGAGATGTTAAAAACAATAGGAAAATAGAATGTTAGGGATAACAAATTGAACAGTAACAAATATTACTCCTCGGTATGTTCATAAATTATTTTTCTTAAAATAAATAAAAATTGTAAAGTTGAATTATATATTTATACAAAAGAAGTACACTATTGTTTAATAAGATAATAAGGGTTGTTTGATTGGAAACAAGTTATCGCAAGATGGAATAACTATCCATCATTATGATATACAAAATAGTATGATAAATTATTTCAAACATGACAACAAAACAAGATATACAAATTTTTTATCCATAATTATTTATTACTCTATCACTATTTATTTTTATATGTTGCGCCAAGAATTAGTGAGCCTGCCTTTGTACACACTCACTCTACATACTGCCAAAATGTTAACCACACTGTATACGACTGTGGTTTTTCACTTTTCATCTGACTCCCAATTTTGTCCTTAACGGAGTAACCTTTTTTCATTTTTTAGAGTGCAAAAAGAGAGAATTGTTTGTTTATGCCACTACCTCCATGCTCACCAGGTCTTGGATTTTGGCCAAAGCATTAACTTTCTGGTCACTGCTAAACAATGCTACAGTCGCAATGTTCTTCACTATGTAACAGCTGAAGTGAAGATGTGGCAAGCTGGCTCCTGCTCCCTGCTGGAAAGTTATATTAAGCAAATTTATTAAATAATGAAAATTGGAATCATATAAACTAATTGAAATGTGATAGAAACTTATGTTCGGTTTCAATTCAAATATTTTAGTTTGATTGAATACGTAACTTAAGGTCAAAATCTTATTAAAGAGATGGCGAGTAATTCTTTAAATTTTGTGGTACTATTATGTTTGTCAAATAGATGGCTGAAATTAGAATACTTAGGTACAATCAACCTAAAAATAAAAGTAAAATACCTAAATTGGATTGGAGGAAATAATACTCAAGCTAGTTGTTACTCCAATACTAGTAGGCTTAGTTTTTTAGCAAATGCAAATTCATGAGAAATTTATATTATATAACATGAAATTTGTTAGTGAAACGCAAAAAAATAGATTGTTACTAAAATGCTAGAAAAGCTTTCTAACTTTTTCTTGTAAAAAAATAAATATATTTTTCTCTTAGTGATTCAATCAATATATCTATAAAAATAATCAATCCAAATTGTTTTTTTGTGAAATTTTCAATAAAGAAGTAGTAATTTTTTTTAGTGGTGCAAGTTCTATCCTTTTATAATGTGGTGAGTAGCTAAAATTGACAATTCTTTTTAATTATTATTAAAACACCATAAAAGTTTCGATAACCGAACAAACATTTCCCATTCTTTATCATATTTTTATCCCAAACATTCTAAAAATTACTGCATGCTTGGAATTAAAAATATCAAACTTCCATAGCTTGGGAGATGAACCCTTACACAAATATTGATAAGTTAAAAAATACAACACTTTTGAAGACGCCCATGTCCAAAATGCTTCTCCAATTTTTTAATATAAATGCATAAACTTCATAATCATGCTTTATGCTCCCGTGCTTATTTACTGTGGCTGTTTCTCCATTCAAATTACAACTTTCTAAATGTTTGCTAGTAGTATTACTTCGTGGCGTCGTTTGGATTGATATAAAATTTAATAGAAGATATTTTAAGGTATTATACATATATATGCCTTTTAATTTGGTCTTAGCCATAATTTTTATTCTCTCGATTTTTGATGTGTACAAGTGAATACTTAAGTTTATATAATATTGAACAATTAGACACATGTGTTCTATCTGACATAAAATACGTGGAAACATGTATCTACTTGTTTAAATCAATCTAAGTTCAGGTGTGCCCTACTTATGAAAATTTAAAGTTGGAAGACATAAACATCAAATGAGGTCAAGTTAAAGGGTGCAAACAAATTATAGATATTTGTGTGTGGAGTATAACTGATTTAATTGATGATAAAAATCAAATTGTTCTAAATTATGTGGGGTTACATTTTTTGTGACCAAACTAAAAAATGTGCCACAAAAATTTAGACGGAAAGAGTATATTATAATTATTGACAACTTATGATATCTTTTGGCCTAGAAATTCTAAATGTATACTTGAAATTAAAACTTTAGGCAACTAGTCAATAATCTAATAATTCGTGCGCTTCCTAAAAGTTTAATTAATTAGGACACAATTGCGTCCTCTTCATGTCACGTTTGTGCTTCAAAATATTAGTGGCATTGATACATTGCTCGAGATCACAATTATTTTGCCTTTTTATTGTCTGATTAGCTCTTATGAGTGCAATATAATACAGAATTCAATAGAAATGTAATTATTTGTCTACCTATATTCTATAGTCATCCAAGGTTACTCCATAGTCTCATAATTTCATTTGTGAGAATGCGGGTAACTAATTATAGCGCTTTCGTTTTTTTTAAATAAATAAATCAGAGTGATAAATTAATGATTAAATTTTAATGGGTCGTGAAGAGAATGTCTGTTAATTACAGTACAACTATGGTGTTTATTCCCTCGTATTATTTTTACTTGTCACTTATTTCTAAAATAAATTTTTATTTGTCACTTTTGATATATCAAGAAAAGATAATAATTTTTTTCCATTAGCATGAA